CCTTCATGGGAGGATGTGACTAGAACACTAGCCCCTCAGCCTGACTCCCAGAAAGGAGAGCCTCAGGCTGATGAGTAGTACCTCAAGCAGTGTCATTTCCCTGGCCATGCTGAGCCCCACAGGAAATCTCAGAATTTCACTCCAGAACAAGGCCCACAAGAATGTCGCTGCATCCAGGGCTCTGTGGTTTGATTCCACTAGAGAGTTTCCTAGGGTAAAGGTTCTGAGGGAGATTGCTCAGCAACACACAAAAATGCTGCAGCAGATGCGTTCCTGGGACTCCTGCTGGAAGGTGTGGGTTTAAAAGGCCTCAGGAAGTTTACACAGCAGTCATAATTCCCCTGGAGCTCCTGGCAGCCCAGGCCAGTCTCAGAGCATTTTCTCAAGGATTTCCAACTCCAGGACATGGGAAATTGGGATAGCTTGTTTCACAGTTTCACAGGTTGGTTTGATCAAGGGGCCTGAACCTTAGGACCTGTTCTGTTTATGGAAGCCAAGCCTTTGATTTTCCCATGGACATCAGGGAGGGTTGAGTTTTAGACCTATGTATACCTAGGGGCAGAGGTTAGAAGGCAGTGCCCCAAACTGAAAACCATCTTGAAGGAGATGGTCAGTTTTTAACCTTTGCTTGCTCTGTTGGTGATCCTCATTCCAAGTTGTGAGGGAGAACTACAAAGCAGCAGTGTGTATATAAGTAAATCAGTAAGTACTCATTTCCGAGAATAAATGTACTTTTTTCAACAAGTATTGAGTTCCTGTCTTGTAGCAGCCATTTTTCTAGACACTGGGATTATAGCAGTGAACAGAACAGAGTCTTGCCCATGATCATGGACATTCCTTTCTTGTAAGGGAAGACCCGCAAATACTGCTTCTTCCAGTGGTAACAGGCTATGCATGCAAATCAGGGTGAGAATAGGGAGCGTGGAGCTGCTGTGTAATCACAGCAAGAAGCATTTGAGAAAGGGCTGAAGGAAGTAAGTGAGCAAGTGCTGTGGATATTTGGGGAAGAGTGTTCCTGACGGAGCCAAAGGGCAAAAGCCAAGCAGGAGCATGGTGGTGGGTTGGAGGTGCAGTGCATAGTCGGAGGTGGAGGCCAGTGTTGCTGGAGCTGAGTGGGTGAGAGGGAGTTGAGGTCAGAGTCTGCTGAGAACAAGTTTAAACATGGCTTTTCAAAAGGGCTTTGCCTTCTACTTTGAAATAGGAAGCCATTGGAGCATTAAAAGAGGACTCAGCACTGTGTGAAGAAACTGAAGAGGATCAGAAGGCAGAAGGGGGGCATAGTTAACTCTTGATTTAGGTTTAGGTCACGATCTTGTGGTTTATGAGATCGGACCCCACACTGGGCTCCGAGCTGAGCGTGGAGTCTGCTTAAGATCCACACCCCCCACCCCCCCGTCCCTTCCCTGCTCACGCGTGTATGGTCGTGCGCACTCTCTCTCTCTCAAAATCAACTTGGGAGACCACTTAGGAGGTTATTTATTAAGGTCAGATTATGGACACATTTTGAGATAGTGCTCATAGGATTTGTTGGTTGATGTCAGATGTGAAAGAAGGAAGATTCAAAGGTGACACCAAAGGTTTTGAGCATTTGCAAGAATGGAGTTGTCATCTATAGAAGTGGGGGAGACTGGGGTCCACAGAATTTCTGGTTTGGTGAGTTTTAGGAAGAAGGTGTAGAAATTTAAGAAAGAAAAATTTTTGACTTAATCAGTTTCCTTAAGGTTTTGGGTCCTTTCTGTCTCATTTTTATTTGGATCATTTCTACCACAATTTTTTTGGGAGAAGTACAGGTCCCGACATACTTTTAGAAATTCTTACCCAGGCCTCTATGATTCATTGTGGTCAGAAGGTGTGAGTACATAAGAACTTTGGGTAGACTTGTTCTCTGGGGCATCCCTCATTTCATGGTTTCCTGGGGCTTCTTCACAAATTACTACAAACTGGGTGGTTTATTTTTTAAAGTTTATTTATTTAGAGAGTGAGTGTGCACATGAGTGGGGAGGAACAGATAGCAAATTCAAAGCAGGCTCTGCACTGTCAGCACAGAGCCCAGTGCAGGGCCTGAACCCACAAACCGTGAGATCATGATCTGAGCCTAAACTAAGAGTCACAGGCTTAACTGACTGAGCCACCCAGGCGCCCCATAAACTGGGTGGTTTAAAACAATAGAAAATTATTCTCTCACAAGTTCTGGGAGCTAGAAGTCCAAAATCAAGGTGGTGTGGGGTCACCCTCCTTCTGAAGCCTCTGGAGAAGAATCCTTCCTTCCTCTTCATAGCTTCTGTTGCCGACCCTTCTTGGCCTTCCTTGGGTTATAGATACATCCTTCCCTTTCTGCCTCCATCAAGGAATGGCATTCAGTCTGTGTCCCTTTTGTCTTCATGTGGCCTTATAAGGACACTAATTATTGGATTTAGGGCCCACCCTAATTCAGTATGACCTCATTTTAATGTGGTTACCCCTGCAAAGACCCTATTTCCAAATAAGGCCACATCCATGGGTCCTGGGGGTTAGGGCTTTAATGTATCTTTTTGTGAGACAGAATTCAACACACATCACATACTCTGATTCAGGTTTGATTGTGAAGGTCTTCTGGGCTTAGGTATCTTTAAGGATGAGACAGAAACTACTGAAAAAGTTAGAAAACAGTTCCCTCTGTGTTAGGGATGACCCATCTGGTAGGATGAAATAAAAATTGTATTTATTTTTTAAATTCTTAAAATAAGTTTTATTTTGAGAGAGCAAGCAAGCCAGCGAGCATGAGCATGAGCAGGGGAGGGGCAGAGAGAGAGAGAGTGAGTCCCTAGCAGGCTCTTGCTGTCAGTGCACAACCCGATCCTGATCCTAGGATCAGGATCCCGTAGGATCCTCATGGGCCTTGATCCTACGAGCCATGAGATCGTGACCTGAGCCGAAACCAAGAGTCACACACGTAACATACTGAGCCACCCAGGTGCCCCCGAAATAAAAAATTTAATGTGCCAAAAGTTTATTTACGTAATTAAAGATTTCAACATAGACAAGTTTATTTTGCGTTATTTTTTTGAAATTTGAAGACTTTAGGTTATAAAGTGGTAAAAATCCTGAAAAAAAAGTCATAGAACTATAAGTGGAAGATAGAAGGAAGAGACATAGAATGATGAATTTTAAAGATAAGAATTTTAACCTGAATTTGTCCAGAGGCCTGTACAGTAGGTAGAAAAGTTCTGGCTGATGTTCCAAGTTTAGTTTTGCCAGCTGGGCAGCGAGTTGACGGAGATAGAATGCAGCAGACCTGATGGGTCCCTGGGCATCAGCTGATGCTGTGGGAGCACAACCCCGCTTGCCCCACTGGCCTTTTCCTTAGATTTCCACAGGGCTGGGAAGGTGCCCAGATGGTACATGGCCCTCACTATTTAGCTCCTGCTCCCCTTCTGTGCAACACCCAGTACATGTACATTCTTCAGTGGTGTGTCAGGAGTTATTAGTATTTCCCTCTTTAAGTCACCACATGTAAAGTCTAGCGATTGTTTATCAAAGGAACTTTGAGTTCCCATTCTGATATCACACTGATAATAAATTCCTTAGCACCAGCATACATCTGTGGCCACTGTGAGTTTTATGGAGCTCCTGTTGTTTGGTGAGGAATGAATGGTGTGCAAGTTGGACAAATGAGAGAGGAGTAGAGAGATATGGCTCTTTCTAGCCTTCAGGAGATTTCAAGTTAGGAGAAGCCAGACGGGAATTAGAGGCTCAGATAAGAACTGATAAAGATGCCACAGCATTGGAACCTATAGGAAAAAGTACCCTGTTGCATTTAATAAATATCTGAACAGAGAGTGGGAGAAGTTAGAAGGATATGTAGAGGGGCATCAGAGATTTTAATGGTGAAGGCCTCAAGCCCCAGAGGCCTTCATTTTGATTTTCTTGCCTCGGTGGTTTGGTTGGGCATCAGTTCCCAAAGAAGGCCTGTCAGGCCAGGCTGCTCACTTGTTCTCTGGCTCAGTCTTTCCCAGGTCATATGGGCACTTGAACGGTCAAAGTGAATCCACAGCTGCTAGGGTGTAGGGGTGAATGAGAGAAGGGCACTGGATGCATCTAAGCTGTCTGGGTCAGGGCTTTGCATTACTGACTCCAGTGTGGCTTAGTCACATGCACCCTTAGGGGATTATTTTGAGTATTTCTGAAAAAGGGAGCCTCATTTCATGTCAAGTGAGAATGCAACCACAAGTATGTCCCCAGGGGAGGGACCAGTGGTGAAGCCACCATATTTTTGGGGTGACCACAGGGCAAATAATGTACAGACATCATTTCCTTTGACTAATCTTTTGTAATCCTGGCCCAGATGTGGCTCCTGAAAGTAGTTTAAGTTCTTTGTCTAAGTTGAGATTTTTAATTTAGGACCCAGATGGGGTAGGGAGGTGAACGTCCAAAAGGTCTGTTTTACTCAGTGTGTCACTGTCCTGGATTCCTGGCAGGCAGCGGTTTCATTAGAAAAGCAGATTTCATCCTGACTCATCTGCCTCGATGAGACGTGTGATACAACTTCTTAGCACTCGTGCAGCCTGCCCTCTGACTGGACAGAACGGAGGGTGCCCAGTCCATTCTGCAGCAGTGGCAGCTACAGGCGCCTGGCCTGGGCTGTGGAAAACCTTGAGAGACAGTCTGTTATGCGGCCGGAGCTTTGTCCTGGAATTTCCTGGCCTTTGTCTGTCTGGTATAACTTCATGTACTGAGACGCCTGTTTTGAGTTCACTTCCTTCTGGGGGAAGAGTGCAGCTGCCTTCCACTGAGCATTTCTGCTTCCTGCACCAAATAACTTGCCCCTGCCTCCCTCATGTCTGTGGGCGGAATGAGGGGAGCACTCTGGGCAGGTGTGTTTGTACCAGGCCCCCAGGAGACAACATGCTAGTGGAAGAAGCTATTGGAGCTAGAGGAGCAGCCATTACCATTGGGCAGAAAAGCTGCATCTGCCAGCCTGGCCCATACCCCCTAACCCTGGTTTCTTTGTCATACTGCAGCAGAAAAAATCCTACCTGGAGCGGAGTGTGAAGGAAGCTGAGGACAACATCCGGGAGATGCTGATGGCACGAAGGGCACAGTAGGAAACCTCTAGTGAAAGCTTCCTGCCCCCTTCTACTCCTGGCAAGGGCAGAGGGGCCCATGTGGGGAAACATCCTCTCTTCTGCCCTGACGGACTTTGTATTTGAGTGATCTGGTAACCCTGTGTTTCCTATTTTACCCTGATCCCCTTTTCGATCCTGGCTCTGCCTGCCACCCCTGCTCGACATTCTTCTCCCCTGGGGTGAGTCCCGAACACCCAGGAAAGATAGGGGCCAGGACAGATAGGGGAGCTCTGCCCAAAGCTACTAGTTACGCTGGTTAGACCAATAAAAGGCATCTGTTCCCCCCCACCCACTCTAAGTCTGCCTTTCTTGAGAACTGAGGGCCAGAGGCTTTCAACCTCGGCTCCTCCCTGACCTGTCCCCCTCCAGAGCATTGGCTCTGTTCCTTTCGCATTGAAGCCTTTCCTGGTTCTTTTTTTTCCTTTCTGTTCCTTTGAGTAAATCCTACATCTGAGCTTCCATGCAGATCAGGAAGAAGGGAGACCAGGGTATAACCGAATTTAAGTGAACCTTGGTGGCATTCTGCCTAAAGATTCCTTCCCTGTTTCCTCCCACATGTTCCATGCGAAAATGCAGTCAGGCTGTCTTCCGGTGGACAGTACAATCCTAAGGCCTACTAGAGGCTTAGGGGCAGTGGTGTGCTGGAGCTGGCTTGTACTGGCTCTGGAGAGCCAATTATTAAAAATCAAGTTATGTAAATATGTAATCCTATTTAAAACAAGGGTAATAAATATTCAGACTTGTCCCTTCCTAATTACTAAATCTGGCCATTATCTGTTTCTGAGGTTAACAGTCTATCGCATCTGGATGATGGAAATTGGTGTATTCCTGCGCTTTTCTTCCTAACTCCACATCAAGTTGGTAGGTTGAAATCAGCTATTGTGGGATCATTTACTCCACAGTAATCAGGTGATGGACAAAATATGGTTTTAAAGACAACTGGTAGTTAAATATTTATGAGCACCTCACTGCCACTGCTTCAGAGTGCAGGTGGGCAGGCTGAGATCTGTCAGCTGTAGCCTCTCAGGGCCAGCTGACGGATATTGACTTGCTGTTATGGCGGCTCAGCGCCACCCTGTGGCCAAAGCTGAGATGGATGTGGGTGTGTGTGTAGAGGGAGGCGTGTGACAGCAGAAAAGAAGGCCTATGGAGCAGCCCATAGTTACCGAGAGGTCCTTTTCCTAGGCTCTGGGTACAAGCACATAACAGTTTGGTGAGCTTATCTCTTCAGCAGGACCAGGGAGAAAATGCTAGCCTGGTGAGAACCTGTCTTCTAATAGCACCTACCCACAGTGGAATAAAAAGGCAAATAGACCCCTCCTGGGGTACAAACCCAGGGCTTGTATCCTGTCTGGAATAATTCAGATGGTTGAGGTTTAGACCAATTTATTGAAACATACAGGGTGTCAGCAGAGAAATCATTCAGTGTGATTACATCATGTCACTACCTTGAATGTATAATTTTAAAATTATAAATATATATTTTATAACTAAGCCTTTGGCCAAAAAAATAAGTCATTTAGCACATTTGTGAAAGGCCAATAAGAAATGCATTTTGAACATTAAAAAGATAAAGTCACTGAATTAAACAGCAGTGCAACCCCTGCTAATAATCTAGAATCCCACTGTGTTGAAGGTAGAAATGTCTGTGCAGAGCTAGTCATTTTCATTTATTTCAGCAATCAGAAGAGATGGGGCAGGCACACCTGTTGAAGGCGGTGGCAGAGTTGGCAGGACCGGAGGGCTGGTCAGGTCAAGTGAGCATGTCCCAGAGACAGCAGCAACAGAGTGCAGTCCAGCAGGCTGTGAGGCAGGTGGATGGGCCCAGGTCATCCCGTCTTTGGTCTTCCACCACATACACTGGAGGGGAAGTAGAGAGAGGGTGAGACTGAACTGGCACAAGCCCTACAGAGCCAGTGCTGACCAGACCAGATGACTGGAGGAAGGGTGGCTTAGTTCCTCAGCTACTTTGTCTCCTCTTCATAAAGACTTTTATCCCCGTAGGGACAGGTACTAGGGAACCAACAAAGTGGCCTCACAGCAAGGCAGCCAGAGCAATAAGAAGTGTCCATTACTGTCCAGAGTTGGCTAACCCTGCTCGGTTTATAAACAGGCAGCACTATGTCCTGTGCCTAAGATATGGCTACGCCATTTCCCCAAAAAATCACCTAAAAAGGAACTGCAGGCCTTAAAATAACAACCCAGAATCCTCATCTCTCAAACCTGGGCAGTGCTATCAGAACGTCCCCCAGCCTCTTAACTTTCACACAGAGCAGGAAGAGGCAGGGGTAAAGACCTGGTCAAGTGTGAGGGATTTTCTCAGAATGGGGTTGGAAATCTGAGCCCTGTCAGGGCTCAGTGCTCTATTAAGAAATTTGCATGCTAAACAAACTCACAGGTCTTGAAGGACCCCAACCACCCTTTACCAGTCAGCAGACTTGTAGCCGACATCACCCTCTCTTCCTGTAAGTACATACATAAGATGGCTGATGGTCAGCCTTGGCCTCAGAGGATCTGTGGCCACTTGTAGGAAAATCTCAAAACCGCAGCCACCGCGAAACTCATTTATAAGCAGTGAGGATTTTAAACTTTTTCAAAGTTAATGAATCTTAACAAATTAAGTTGGTCCTTCGGCAATCTTCTTTCAGTTCTATTTTTGTTTATCTATTTTTATGCCTCCTCTCTTGGCCAGTCCTCTCCTTGGAGCCTGGTCAGTAGTGAGGTTTTTTTTTAATGTTTGAGAGAGAGGGAGAGAGAATCCCAAGCTGGTAGCACAGAGCTGGATGTGGGGCTCGAACTCCCAAACCATGAGATCATGACCTGAACTGAAATCAAGAGTCAGATGCCTAACTGACTGAGCCACCCAGGAGCCCCAGTACTGAGCTTTTCCAAGCTGTCCCATTGAGGCGGTGCCATCCACAGGCCTCTCTTTCTCCTCTGGCACAACTTTCAGGTCAGCTGCTTTCATCTGACCTGGCTCAGCAACACAAGCAACACTGTTCTAAGGTCTGGCAGACAACACCCAGCCCCGGGGAAAGCCTAGTGAAAGAGAAGACAGCCCATTTATAAGGTGCATTACCTGATTTAGTCTTAACAGTAGTACCTGACTATAGATAATACCATCATTCCTATTTCACCGGTAAGAAACACAAGGCTTAGAAAAGTTTCTTGTTCAAGCACACATTATCACCTGAGGCAGGCACAGGGTCTGAACCCAAGGCCTCTGGCAAGCCAGGATAAGCACAGGACTGAATGGGCTCGAGGACGGTCTTCACACCAGTCAGAGCCCACCCCACCCATGAAAGGCCTCGGCAGTCCGGACGCGGGGGTCACCTCGGCAGGAAAGTCGTAGGCAACGGCTTTCACCTGCTGTCTGCCTAGATGACCTGACCCAAGTCCCGGGCCTCCCCTGATCCTGCAGTGGGCAGCTTCCGACAGGGAAACGACACAACTAGGTGCAGACACCCTGGAATAATTCCTTACCATTTATTGTCCCTGCTGGAGGGCTGGCTCTGCTGCCTGGGGACAGAAGGACCCTCTCTCCTGCCAGTTTTACAACCAGTCTGCTTAATGCAGTCCTGAGACCCAGCCCAGTTGCCATGTGAGAGGTCCTGCAGCCTCTCTCAAACTACCATTTGTTGAGATCACAATTGTGCTGGGACCTGTGCCAAGGGCCTTCTGTATACAGTACCACTCAGTGTTCACAAACCTGTGATACAGGTATCGGGACACCTGTCTTCCTCACTGCTTTTCCTTGGCCCTGTGCCTACTCCTGTTTTACCACAGAGCTTCATCAGGGAAATAAATGTCCCGGACTTGCTTCCTCTAACACCTTTCTCCTTCAGTTTAGTCAAGTTTGTCCTTGCCAAGCCTTCTTTCATATGACAAGCTTCAAAACCTGGGGCAATACTCACAGTGTTTATAGAGGGAAGAAATCAATCTGGCTACAGGACAGAACACTTCAAACCAAAGGGCTGTGTCAACCTCAGGTGGGGCAGTTGGTGCTGGTGCATACGTTAGAATCCCTGTCAGTTATTCCCTGGATTACCAAGTCTTCCAAAGCCCTTTTGACCTTCTCTTTGCCATTAGCTGATGACAGAACCTCTGACCCCAAACTATTGGAAAAGTAGGGGGAGGAAGAGGGTGTGGAGAGTAGGTCTGGAGGTTGGAGTGGCCCAGGAGAAAGCCCTTGAGGCCTCACAGTTCCTCCTGGCACCCCTCCCCCATGTGGTCCAGGAATGGCATACAACTGTATCTTCCTAGATGCCCTACCTACATGGCGGGTGTGAGGTCCTGCATGTCCAGAGGCTGCCTCCTGCACTGAGCAGCATGGCCCAGTCAGCCCCAGGACCACCCCACCCAGGGGGCCTTACTGCTCTTCCCCTACTCTGCCCCTCAGTGGACCATCTGCCCGGGAGCTCCTACACTGCCCCAGATGACTGGCCAGCTAGTATGCAGCCCACTCCGCCCAACTCCCTGGGTACTTGAAGCCAGGGGACTTGTGTGCACTGAAGCATCACTGACAGTGCTGGTCACCAGGCAGGAGCTGTGTCAAAGACGATTCCAACACAGGTGTTCATACCCCCCTGGCAACTGGCCTCTACTGGCAAGCAGGGTATAAAAAGGGGGCAGCACCATGGTTACACAAGATGTTAAACATTAGAGGAAGCTGGAGGAACAGTACAGAGAAACTGTACCATCTCTGCAACTCCTGGACCAACTGGAACATTGCCCTTCCAGGCAGTTCAGCAGTCTGCTCAGGTTGGGAGGCAGGTTCTGGTGCCTGTAGGTGCCGCTCAGATTGAGCTGCTTCTTACAGATCATATGCATGCCCTGGGGCCAGCCTGGGGCCAGGGGCTGGGCTCTACCTTTTTCTGATGGATGCAGGCAGGGCCTTATGGACTGGCTTATATTCACCTCAGCCAAAAGGCCAACCCTCCCCACTTGCATTTGGTATCTCCCTGCCAATGCCGCCAAACTCCTACCTCTGCCCTAGCCCTAGGGGTTCCCCTCACCAGCTTCTCTTACTCCCAGATAGCCCTTTGGCAATGACCCTCAATGAGGAGCAGCTACTCAGAGCTTTGCCACCTGAATCCAAGTGCAGAAGTGCTGTGTGCTTGATGGTAGTGAAGGGGGTTGGTGGAATGTGCAGGGAGGGGTGTACATGCACACAGGTGTGACCCCAAGACCCAGAATACGTCAGAAAGGCCTAGGTTAGTCTCGGGTGCAGGGTGTCTTTGGAAGGAGCTGAGTAGCTTCTAGGAAAGTCTCCCACCAACCTTTCTTGACTC